AGAACAGAAACAGAACAGAAACAGAACAGAAACAGAACAGAAACAGAACAGAAACAGAACAGAAACAGAACAGAAACAAAACAGAACAGAACAGAACAGAACAGAACAGAACAGAACAGAAAAGAACAGAAACAGAACAGAACAGAACAGAATAGAACAGAACAGAACAGAACAGAACAGAACAGAACAGAACAGAACAGAACAGAAACAGAAACAGAACAGAAACAGAACAGAAACAGAAACAGAAACAGAAACAAAACAGAAACAAAACAGAACAGAGCAAAAACAGAGCAGAAACAAAACAGAAACAAAACAGAACAGAAAAGAAACAGAGCAGAAACAGAACAAAAACAGAACAGAAACAGAACAGAAACAGAACAAAAACAGAACAGAAACAGAACAGAAACAGAAAAAGAAACTGAACAAAAACAGAACAGCAACACAACAGAAACAAAACAGAACAGAAACAGAACAGAAACAGAACAGAAACAGAACAGAAACAGAAACAGAAACAAAAACAGAAACAAAACAGAACAGAGCAAAAACAGAGCAGAAACAAAACAGAAACAAAACAGAACAGAAAAGAAACAGAACAGAAACAGAACAGAAACAGAACAGAAACAAAACAGAACAAAAACAGAATAGAACAGAAACAGAACAGAACAGAAACAGAACAGTTCCTGTTCTGTTTCTGTTCTATTTCTGTTTTGTTTCTGTTCTGTTTTGTTTTTGTTTCATTTCTGTTCTGTTTCTGTTATGTTTATGTTTTGTTTCTGTTCTGTGTCTGTTTTGTTTCTGATCCTGCTCTGTTTTGTTTCTGTTCTTTTTCTGTGATTTCGTTAGAAAGCTGGGTTTATTTGGTCGAGTGTGAAAGGTGTGAGCCACAATAAACCCTCGTGGTTTGCGGACCCACTCACTTTGGACCTAACCTAATTAACCTATCCTTGTCTATGTGTGACTTGCTGTTCTTTAAATGCCTAGCCAAGGAATTACCAGTCTTATATGCTATGTTAATATTTTGTTTGTTTGGTAGTCTTAGTATTTTATCTGATGTTTTCCGGTATACAAAGAAAATTAACGAAATGAATATAAATTGATCAACTGCTAGTGAGAGCAGATTTCTAAGTGATCATAATAAAAATTCACAAAAACATTTCTTCAATTATGATATGCCATTGTGTTTTGAGAAGGAATTAAAAAATTAAAACGATGTTTTAAAAAAATCTGTTTAAAATTTGTTTTTCCGTTAACCACGCACGAACCTACGAACGGCAACCATCAGAAGTCGAAACTTGTGCGAGCTAAGGATTAACGAGGTCTTACCTTTTAACGTGTGATTCCTAACACGAGTGAAATATTGATATTTGAGATGAAATAATGGCAGATCTGTTAGACCATCGTCAAAATCGTCGATAATTTATATTCCTTTCAATTTCCAAGTTATTCGTTGACAGATTGTGCTAGGTTAGGAACGCAATCAACAAAATGAATACGTTCTAATGATTTCCATTGTTTCGACTGGGTTAATGAATAATTCATAGGGAATATTTATGTAGGTTGGACTTTGAACGTATCAAGGTTTGCTCGAAATTTAGAAAATTTTAAACATATGGCCATTTCTTTCATTGAAATAAAGAGTAGCAGCAACAAATCTTATCCAGTTCGCGCCCTTTTCCTGAAACCGCTACTCCACAGTCGACATTTTCCACCGTAAAGTTAGTTCAAATGAGCAAAGGTGGTCGCAGTTGTTTGCAAAACGCGTCAGTTTTCAAAAATAGACGAGCCAGGAATAAACCAAAACTTCAGTCGCGAACCAGACCAACTTCGAAAAACACTTCACAGAGCCGTTTCACGAGTGCAGTGCGCAAAATATACAGACGAAGAAGGATTTTCCAATGAACTGTTCGGATTAGAGAGCCATGGAATTTTCGAAAAATTACCGTGTCGAAATTGCCGAAACTCAAAATGGAGAGCCCCGCTAGGAAGGTTAAGAAAGGTGAGCTTTGGTGTGGGGTGTGATGTGCAAGCTAAAATTGGACGTGGATACAGTGAGATGCGTGAAGTGCGCAAATAGTTATTTGCCTGACAAGCACGATAAGTTATACTTTTGTACTTTCTACTGGTTTTTTTTTGGGTATATAACCTTCCACAATCTGGAAAATGAAAGCTAAATCAATAGAAAATTTGCTGGAGTGTCGTAAATGGCAAACGGAAAAGTTTACCCCGAAAAATTACTGCGTAATATAAACCACCGAAGAGTCCAATTAGTCAGTAACATGTATTCATGAATTATGCCTACGGACTGAAAAAATAATTTTAAAAAATTGAATATCAGTGCTTAGCTTTCTTTATCGGTCGACATTTCAGAAAAGAATGTTTTTCCGTTTTCAATACATGAAAATCTCTATAAAATTTTCGCGTCAAATTGTGATAGCTCTTATTCTTTTGAAATACGTCAAAAGAATGAAATCTGAATACGTCACACGCGACAGATTAAATGAACACACATACTGGATGTTTCTTGAGAATGTGTGTTCATGTAAACAGTCGCTTATGACATCTGGACAATTAATACTTTTGACGTATGTCAAAAGAATTAGAGCCATCACAATTTGACGCGAAAATTTTAGGTTTTCGAATGTCGACCACTAATTTTTTCAATTTGTAGATGAAATTTATGAATACAACTTACTGACTGATTTGATTATTCAGTGGTTTATACAGGGGGTAATATTAGTACGTTGAAATATTCAAGTGACTTATTTCTGAGACAATTTTAGGAAAAAAAGTCTTTCAAAACTTTCGTCCGGAAATAATTCGTTTCGGAGATACGGAGCGTTGACATTGATTTTTTTCTTCGTTTCTTGAATATAACTTTTGCAAAAAATGAGACATTTGCACGAACTTTGGGTTTTTTTTTGACGTGGGAAATCATAAATTCGTATTAATTTTCATGTAACGTCTAGAGGGCGCTGCGTACGCTGTCATTATCCATTTCAAATTGCCCTAACATTTTTGACAACAAACTTTTGGTATTTTTCATGAAAAAACCTAATTTCCACACCTTTTCTAAGTAAAAAAGGTACACTCAACAACGCTGGAGGTGATCGTTTTCCAGATATTTACAATTTTCTATATCATTGCATAAAGTATAATGCATCGAATAGAAAATTGTTAATATCCAGAAAACGATCACCTCCAGCATTGTTGAGTGTACCTTTTTTACTTGGAAAAAATCTGGGAATTAGGTTTTTTCATGAAAAATGCCAAAAGTTTGCTGACAAAAAAGTTAGAGCAATTTGAAATATTAATGACAGCATACGCAGCGCCCTCTAGACGTTACATGAAATTTAATGTGAAGTTATGATTTCCAACGTCAAAAAATTTATTTTTTGCAAAACTCATTTTAAAAAAACGGACGAAAATATTAATTTCAAAATCCTATACCTCCGAAACGAAGCATTTCCGGAAACATTTCTCTTAAAATTGTCTCAAGAATACGTCACTGAATATTTTAACTTACTTATGTTTCCCCCTGTATTACGCAGTAACTTTTTGGGCTGAACTTTTCAGTTTGCCTTTTATTATACTTCAGCAGATTCTCTATCGATAAAGCTTTCATTTTTCAGATTGTGGATGGTTATATACCCAATAAAAGAAAGTATTGAGTTCTCCACGAAAAAAGGTTTTTCAAACCTAACCTCTAACCAAAAACTACAAACTAAAAAGTTTGACATTGATATGCTAATACGCGAAGCGCGCCAAATTCAAAATTAAAGAAATCTAATTTTTTTACATTTCCCCCTTGCCAGGCGAAGTGAGTGTCGAATGAATACTTCATATATTTTCTTAACCGTGTCTTATGATTTTTGGTCATGTCGAAAATGGAAGCTTGACTAACCATATAGTGAAGCATTTATATGTTGCTATTCAACTGTCTTGTTTGTCCCATAGTGATTAAAAAAATTTATTGAAACGTCTTTTCTTGTAATTTTCCTGAAACCGGTGGTACAATTTTGTTCGATTTATCTTTTTCCAATATTGAGAGGAACAGCTAGATTAACCTAGCTGTAATAATCATTACAGTACATTAATTGCATATCTAAATATTTCAATTCTGTCAGTAGAACAGTAGGTCAAGAGGTAAAATAAAATATCTACTACAGGAACAGGAATACGCCGCTCCTTTCTTGCGATTTCTTCCTCATCTGCAGAAGATTGATTTCCAAAATTCACGGCTTCGTTGTGAAACATTCGATCTTCCCGCTCGAGGCATTGTAATGTCATGGATATTGCCGACTTTCTTTCTATTATGACGTAACAATTATTCATGCACTCACAATCACAATTAAATGTCATAGTCTTAATTGATACCAAATGTCGTCAATTTGTTCGATCTTCAATTTTATATTATTATTTTTGAAACATCTATAGCCGCACGTAAAACCGATTGCTGGAGTGGCGACGGGTCATCATGCGCAAGCGACTGTGCGATTCTCTTTCCACTGTTTCGGCGCTACCTTTCTCGACATACTAAGCTCGGATACTTAGGAATCACAAAATATTAGTATTGATGTTTCGCATCTGCCAGGCGTCCCGTGACGGCTCAAAATTGTTTTCAGATGTTTCAAGTCATTACCTTATCTCTATTCCGGATGTAGACACATCCAACGAATCAGAAATCATGAAAATCGGTCTAGCTGTTTTTGATTTGTAGATTATGCAACTAACAAGATTTTGCGACTTTGTTTTATCTATTAAGATATCTTCTCCTATGAACTCACCCGAAATTAATGTCGACTTTGATAATGAACAGGTGTTTCCTTGTATTTTTGCAATGCGTTGATATAATTGAGAAAATCTAAGTCTCGTTTGATATTTTCCGTAGTATTCCTGAAATCTCAAAATACATTTTTTGTTAGTCAGAAATAACCTCCGCCAAGATCTTGCATCACAAACGCCCACGTTGGAACATTAATATATGTAGAAGGAGACATTACGAAAAATATATTATTCTGAACGAATGTTCATTTTCAATGCACTTTACGATAAAATTTGTTAATAGAACCTGTGAAGGTTCTGGGGAACTGAAACTTATTTTTTCTACTTACATGACTTTCCACTGAAACGCGGCGAAAGTGTTGATAATCGCTACAGCAGAAAAAGACTTAACAAAAATATGAGTAATAGCCAACTGCTTGAAGTAAATTATTACTTGTCTGATAAAAAACATCTACTCAATTAATTGTGGACTCAATTTCAATAGGTTACTAACGAAAAAATTTAAACCAATCGTATTCTGAAATCAATATTCAAAAAATTATGTTGGCAAATGGCCATTTTGCCGCCTTTCCACCATATTGTATCGAATGATTTGCTTTCATAGGCCTTTTCATCACAATTTTTTTTGTGCGCATGCGTCAGTATCAGCCATCTTTTTCGTACTGTTTTTTGTAAACAACCATGTTAAAGAGCCCGCAACTCATGTTTAAAAAATCAAAATATAAATTAAAGTTTATTAACTGTAAAAAAAGTGAAAAAAAAGTAGTAAGTGAAAAATAATCAGAAAAAAAAATTATACTCCATTATAATTATGTTATCTGTACGAAAAGGAACAACAAAACGGTGTTGTTATGGAGTACCTATGTAAAAGTGATATACGATACGAATCATTCAAAACCAACACATACTATTTTATAAATTTTCCAAAGCCTTGTCTTGAATATCGTAAAAAAAATAATCAAATAATCAAGAAAATTACATATTAAAGCATGTGCGAAATGTGAATTGTGAGTGAAAAAATGTGGCAGGAGTGACCGAGGCTATAAATCTATTGACGATGTTACCAAAGATACTTATATTTGCTCACTACATTTCATTGGAGAAAGTGGTCCAACTGAACAAAACCCTGATCCTTCAAGCTATCAGGAATTTCAACATACGTACATTATTCCTTATTGCATTTTTGACTTTAAATTTCATATTAAATCTACCTAAATCTGTACTCCAACAGTTCTTATAGTAGGTACGTAATAAAAATTTTTTTGTTAACCTTCCTGGCACCGAGTGATTTCCCGAATTCACCCCATTATCTGGGGTGAATTCTCACCCCAAACTCTCATCCCAATTTTCTGATCACATAAAATTGAAAGGAAGAAACATCAATCGCATTGACGATATTCATTTATATTTTGGTCAGGTTTAGGATATTTTATGCAATAAAAATGAAGCAAAACATAACCAGAGTCGCTTTTCTATCACCATTGGAAAAACGGACAATTATGTGAATACGCTAACGCTACAAAAATTCATGTGTGCTGTGTTTATCTCCCACCCAGAGATGATTATGCAAGAACATCCTTCACTTCGAAACTCCAAGAGAACCTTGATGAACTTTCAGGTGACTCAATAATTATATTTGGTGATTTTAATTTTCCGTATATTAACTGGATGCCCAGTCCATGTAACACCTTTTTCATCCCAACAAATACTGATAATACTAATGCTCCTCTGATTGACCTTCTTTCTTTTGGTGAATTCTCCCAATATAATTATGTTCGAAATATCGATGATAGAACATTAGATTTAGTTTTTTCAGTAAATGTTGAATTAACGGATTTGAAAATGAGTGATATTTCTTTGGTGAGGGCTGATTCTTATCATCCACCTATTGAGTTTTATATATATTACCAAGAAATGTACCCACTTAATACCAAAATTGAAAAATTTTT